CCTAGCCAGTCTCCAGATCTCACCCCCATAGAAAATCTTTGGAGGGAGTTGAAAATCCGTGTTGCCCAGTGACAGCCCCAAAACATTACTGCTCTTGAGGAATGGGCCAAAATACCAGCAACAGTGTGTGACAACCTTGTGAAGACTTACAGAAAACGTTTGACGTCTGTCATTGCCAACAAAGGGTATATTATAACAAAGTATTGAGATGAAATTTTGTTATTGACCAAATACTTATTTTCCACCATAATTTGCAAATAAATTCTTTAAAAATCCTACAATGTGATTTTCTGGATTTTTTTTCTCATTTTGTCTCTCATAGTTGAGGTATACCTATGATGAAAATTACAGGCCTCTCTCATCTTTTTAAGTGGGAGAACTTGCACAATTGGTGGCTGACTAAATACTTTTTTTCCCCACTGTGTATATATATATATATATATAAAACAGAACAATGTAAGCTGTAACAAATGTCAAGGTAGCAACAAAACAAAATCAACAAATAGATAAAACATTATTTCAGTGTTGTAGAAGATCATCTTATTTAAATTATGGTAATTTCAATCAGTAAAAGGTGATTTAATATGTATAATAGTGTACATTGAACAAGAATAAAACACACTGATCTAACAGTTCCTGACAATCCAGCAGGATGAAGCTGAGTCTGTGGATCCTATGAAACAGTGACAACATCTACAGTAGCTTTTATAAGAACACACTAAATTAATGCATTAATTAAAGAGTCCAGCAGAGCTCAGAATGTTTCTACAGACCATCACATTGACTCACTGATGTCTGTCACACACAGCAGATGATAGCTTATAATTAAAAGGTGAAAAAAAATCCATATGACAAACAGGATTCAAATATGAAGATTCAAATGCTTTGAAAAGTCATGTCATGCTTTTACAAAAAAAAATTATAATAAAAAAACTTATGTATTAAAATAAATATCTAAAATACAAAATAGCTCAATTACCTTATATGGACTCATGAGTCTGTGGAATATGACCTCACAATCTGGCTTTATCCACCTTATTTTTCCCGTAAGAGCGGCGCTGCCATTTGTACATTTAATGCGTCTGGCTTCCGGTGTGGTTCGCTTTCAGCTATTTTTAGCTCTACAAAACAGCTGGTTTTGCAAACTGGTGTTTCTTGCCATATTATTTTAATGCCATGTCTTAATTATGAACACACTGGTTTGTAGTGCAAACAGTTTTACAGTTTACTGCAGTTTGTTCTTCTTCTTGTTATTTCCCTTCAGCGGCGAATGAAGCAGAAGTCTCGCACAGTCACAGAAAACGGCTTACTTCCACACTGAATAATATGATGTATACCTCACAATACAAGTTATCTTACAACGTGTTATTATATGTTATAATGTAACTAGCCAACTACTTATTTCATAATGAAATAGTCACAATTACAGTTTTTTTTAAATGAAAAAATTAATTTTTATGAAATGTAATAGACACTCCTAGCAATTAATTTTGTGGTTCCTCACAAGAGGTTGTTACATCGGACAGAGAAACACTGAAGAATCACGATAAACCAGAAATCCAGCATAGAGGGGTTCAGTGAATGTGGTGTTGTATGTGTGTAAGTGTGTGAGTGTGTGTGTGTCAGAGACGCTGTAGAAGGACAGAGAGCCGGCCGGCCAGTCCAGATACACTCCTACTCTATTAGATGGTGAAGGGCGAGGAATGTTTGTGCTCTTATTATTGTGCCAGACAGAGTAAATTGTATCACAACAGTAAATATTCCAGGACTTTTCATTGAGTCCAAACCGACATTTGCTTCCACCTTTCCTGTTGATTCCTTTGTATGCCACAGCTACATGACCCCATCCGCTCCATTCAACCTCCCAGTAACAGCGTCCAGTCAGACGCTCTCTACACAAAACCTGCTCACAGTTCTCAAACCTCTCTGGATGATCAGGATGCGGTTGATTCTCTCTCTCACACTTTGTTTTCTTGTTCCCTGCAGACAGAGAGAGACGAGTGTGTGCTGTGTTTGGATCCAGTGTGAGATCACAAGCATCTGGGAAAAAACATCACAGAAAGACAGATTAGGACATCTATGGCTTTATTAAATATGCATTGGTGTATTTGTGTGTGCATGACTTACACTTTCGCAGTCCTGGTGTGATCCTGAAATGTTCTCCATGGTCCAAACTGAACAAAGACATAATGAAAAGAGACATAAGTACATACACAAACAAATAATAAGGGTGAATAAATTCTGCATTTGAACCTGAAAGAGTACAACAAAGTATTAAATGGTTAATGTCATGAGAAACCAATTTGCCTTGATCTTTTGATCACATCATTAAACAATTAAAACATATTGCAAGTTTCAAAGCTCAATGTATCCTCCTCAGTACAAAAAAATGCATTTAAGCAAGATTGAAAAATGGCTCGTTTAGATTCTGCAGGATTTGTCACACAGGCAAATATATTTATACAGCAAGACACTGATGCTCACTTTTACATCCTCACACCATTGGCCCCACCTACTGGTGCTCAATCAAATCTCTAGTTATGCGTCTCATTTTTTATTGATCATATGTTGGTACGGATGAGAGACCTGGTGAGCCAAATGATTTTTGTCCAACACCCAGGTGTGGCTCACAAGTCATAGGGTCCCGATCACTAAAATAGACAGATGCCCAATACTATTCCTTACATACTCCATGCGTTTGAGCTACTCGTGACAACAGGACAAATGAGAGAGGAAAGGAGCATTTGACTGAACATTGTTTTCTAAATGAGGCACAATGTAATGCAGGGTTCATGAAGAAACTTTTTTTGAAAGATGAAGCTGTGCTAGCTTATTACGTATGACAGCAGTCATGTCACAAAGTGTAATTAAGCAATTTCAAAAACAAAAACAACAAAAAATAATAATTGCATGACTTAGTCTAGTAAGTGGAAAATAAAACCACATTGCAAAGAATAATAAAAAAGATTTATGAATGTCATGATTTTTCTCTAGATTTACAACCTTAAAAATGTAAAATCACAGTGCTCACAACAGTGGCGTTGTGAGTGGGGGGGGGGTTATTTGTTAAATAAAACAATCCAATGGCACACTGAAGCACTGAAATACAGGGGAAAAGATAGAAAGGGGGAAATATTTCATTAATTAAACACTGCATCATTAGTGTTGGTAGTGTATCAGACACTTGCACTTAACATTATAAGAAAATCAAGCTCAAATGGGAGTTAACAAGGTTTTTGACCAGTGAATGAGGAGATCTGTGTTTTGTCTGTCAATAGAACGGCTGTATATGAGGCAGCAAATGCATGGCATTATACGCTTTCATCAACTTTTACAGGTTATATAACCATTTATTGTAGCTATATGGGTGCTTAGTTTTTCTTGCCGTTTAATATACTTGGCCAAAATCTCATGATATAAACGATGAAGCACTATATGCACAGGATATTTAAAACGTACAAAAGTATATTGGCTACAACTAGACAGAAAATAGCCTACTTCTCCGCTCTTCAAACACACAAAAAACATCAGCCTTTACAGACATAGTGTTTGAGTAAAGAAAACGCTGTACTATTCAAACATAGTTATTTATTTACCCTTGCATTGCAAACAAACGGAGATCTGTCTGTGCATGGCGTGTCAATCTGAATGGAGGCGGGGTGAAGTTACGAGGTTTCGCTGGCAGCTTGAGGATCCAGTGGCGTTACGAAGTTTTACTGACAAGCTCTTTTTAATGCTGCTTATCATTGGTTAAATATTTGTAAAACCCTCTGATCTAAATTAATAATAACGAATTATAATAGAGATGTGAAGTTTGGATAATTTTTCACGGCACACCTGACTGGGCTAGGGTATGGCAACTGTCATACAGAAACGCCACCCCTGGCTCACAAACTTTCTTAGAAGATTGCTGTTTGTTGACCCCATCACACAAACAAACACACAAATGAGTAATAACTGCCCCACATACTTGAGTATCTGCAGTTTATAGTTGGGATCCTCCAGTTTGTGTTTGAGCAGCTGGACTCCTGAGTGTCCTGGGTGATTGTAGCTCAGATCCAGCTCTCTCAGGTGTGAGGGGTTTGAACTCAGAGCTGAAGACAAATAACCACAGCCTTCCTCTCTCACCATACAGCCAGACAACCTACAGAAAGAGAATGTCTGAAATCTCATTCATGTGTTTTGTGCTTTTGGAATTTGACAACTGGTCACTGTATATTTACATGATATAAATGAGATCTGCTTGGACATTTTTTGCAAAATTGTATTGCACAATTTCTCCTTTTGTGCTTTACAGAAGTAAATAATCACACAGGTTTGGAACATGAAGGTGATTAATTTACACAATTTTCATTTTTGGGAAAAATCATTGCTCTAAAGTACCTTAAAAGTGTAGCTTATGTATTTGATGTATTCTTAGTTTGCTAGTTACTTTAGTTTTAAAAAATCTGCTAAACGAATAGTAAATGTAAACTTCACTTAAGTATTACCAACCTGCGCAACAAAGCCATCTTTACTCTTGGCATTAACATGTGTTTGGATCTTTCTCAATTTTTCTTTATTTTCAAGCAACATCTCGCATCGTTTCTTAAAGGGATAGTTCACCCAAAAATGAACATTTGATGTTTATCTGCTTACTCCCAGGGCATCCAAGATGTAGATGACTTTGTTTCTTCAGTAGAACACAAATTAAGATTTTTAACTTAAACCGTCGCAGTCTTTCAGTCGTATAATGGGGGTGATCTCAGGATGCGCTCAGGACAGTTCAGACATTGCAGTGCATCAGAGGTAAAAAAAAACGATATAAATACTGTTCAGTTTCTTGCACAGACCGATCGTTTCGTGTCTTTACACACCAATGTATCGTCACGAGCCACAGGGTTTAATTTGGTTTTGTTTGTGTATGTTTTTTTTTACTCTCAAAGCTGTGATTCCCATTCACTTCCATTATAAGACTGACAGACTGCAACAGTTTGAGTTAAAAATCTTCGTTTGTGTTCTACTGAAGAAACAAAGTCACCTACATCTTGGATGCCCTGGGGGTAAGCAGATAAACATCAGATTTTCATATTTGGGTGAACTATCCCTTTAAGATGCAGGTGTTCATGTAAAAAATAATAATAATAATAATGTAATTATATATTATATATATATATATTGTTTTTTTTCTTTTGTTTTTTTCTCTCCCTCTCTTTCATATTGAACTTCATTACTATTCTACTATATTCTACATATTACTATATGAACTATTCATTATATCAGCCTAGACTTGAATGGTTTGGATTAAACCACTTGTGGTCCACACTCCACAGACTGTATTTTAAACTTTCCTGATTTATGAATTACCAGAAGGTAGAGTCTCCAGCATTGGATCACAGTAAACATTATGTGTTTAGAAATATTTCTGGCAATAATTGAATCCTACCATGAGCCTACTATCAGAGTGATGGGGAGCAGTTAACATCTCAACTGCTGCCCTTATCGAGGGCAAATTAATGGAATCTTCTAAATGCTTTAAAAGGAAAGCAGACTAATCATTACAAGATATTAGACATGGAGAAATCTATCAGAGATAAGACACATAAAAATAGTACTACTAGAAACCTCAGTATCTCCAGCTGACAGTTTGGACTTGTCAATCCATCAGAGAGCAGCTTCACTCCTGAATCCTGCAGGTCATTGTTACTCAGATCCAGCTCTCTCAGGACACAGTTTGAGGATTGTAGAGCTAAGAACAAACTCTTACAACACTGAGCAGTGATATTACAGCCAGCAAAACTATGGGACAAAATATATAATAAAAAATATGTTACTTAAACTTTAATCTCAGTTAAGCATTTTCAAACACAATAGTCTATATTATTTATAAAGATATCAATGTACAATACAATGTACTGCAAATAAATTTGAAAGTGAAAGGTGGTTGAGAATTTAACACTCACAGAGCTTTTCTGCAGTTGATCACAGCTGGTATCAGTCTTCTTCTACCCTCATCTGATGTGTTGTATTTCTTGAGATCCAGCTCATCCAGCACCTCCTCTGACATCTGAAGCATGTAGGAGATTGTTGAGCAGTGAGCAGGAGAGAGTTTCTTCTCTGAGTGTTTGTCTGATTTCACAAACTCCTGAATCTCTCTGGACAGAGCCTGATCTTTCACTTCCAGCAGACAGAGGAACAGATTGATGGATTTTTCAGCGGAGAGTCCATGTCCATCTCTGATCTTCTCTTTAATGTACTGTGTGGTTCTCCTGATGCTCTCAGAGCTGTTCTCTGTGTGTGTCAGTAGATCCTGTAAGAGTCTCTGATTGGACTCCAGTGAGACGCCCAGCAGGAACCGCAGGAACAGATCCAGATGTCCATTCTCACTCTCAAGAGCTTTATCTACTGCTCTTTTATGCAAATTATGCAGTGAATCTAAACATGCTTCTGTAGTGCTGCTTATGTGAAAGTAAAATACATAGAACGCAGCGAGAAACTCCTGAACACTCAGATGGATGAAGCTGTAGACTTTCCTCTGATGAATCACAGATTCCTCCTTAAAGATCTCAGTGCAAATCCCAGAATACACTGAGACATCAGTGATGTCTATGCCGCTCTCAATCAGGTCCTCCTCATAGAACATCACATTGCCCTTCATCAGCTGTTTGAAAGCCACTTCAGCAAGTTTCACAATCACTTCTCTGTTGGAATGGAGGAGTTTCTCTGGATCTCTGTCTTCATACTTCTGGTTCCTCATGTTGATCTGAATCAGCAGGAAGTGGATGTACATTTCAGTCAGAGTTTGAGGGATTTCTGCACTCAGATCTTCTTCCAGGAGCTTCTGAAGCACAGTGGATGAGATCCAGCAGAAGACGGGGATGTGGCACATGATGTGGAGGCTTCTTGCTCTTCTGATGTGTGAGATGATTCTGCTGGCTTGATGCTGGTCACTGATTCTCTTCCTGAAATATTCCTCCTGCTGAGGCTCAGTGAATCCCTGGATTTCTGTCAGACGGTTGATGTATTTGGAGGGGATCTGATTGGCTGCTGCTGGTCTGGAGGTGATCCAGATGAGAGCAGAGGGAAGCAGCTCTCTTTTCATGAGCTTTGACATCAACACAGCCACTGAAGAAGTCTCAGTCACATCACAAACTTTCAGAGCGTCTGAAAACATCAGTGTGATTCTGCTTTCATCCAGACCATCAAAGATGAACACAACTTTACACTCCTCATAAATCTGTGAGTCCAGATCTTGAAGTTCAGGATGAAAGTCCAGCAGAAGTCTGTGAAGACTGTACTGATGATCTCGGATCAAGTTCAGCTCTCGAAATGGAAGCACAAACATGAAATCTACATCCTGATTGGCTTTTCCCTCGGCCCAGTCCAGAATGAACTTCTGCACAGAGACGGTTTTTCCGATTCCAGCGATGCCTTTAGTAAGAACAGTCTTGATCTGCTCTTTCTCCTCACATCCTGCTTCAGCTGAGGCTTTAAAGATGTCATTGCAGTAGATTGCATTGTCTTGTGAGTGTTGTGTTCTGGCTGTTTTCTCCATCTGTAAAACCTCATGTTCTTCATTCACTCCGTCACTCTCTCCCTCTATGATGTAGAGCTGTGTGTAGATCATATTCACGAATATTTCATTATCTTGGAGTTTGATTCCCTCAAATAATTTATCATGTTTGTTCTTCATGCTGGTTTTGTGCCGGTCTTTGACTCTCTGCAGATCTACAGACTCTAGATTGTGTTTCTGCCAGATGACTTCAGCTTTGTCCTGCCTGATGTGGGTCTGATAGTGGGATGAAGTGGATGGCACAAATATGCTCAGCTCATGTATATCTTTACTGCTAAAATTGAAAAGAAAAGAGCAGAATAAATTATAATGCCAGCTGAAGGAATTTGTATTTATGTATTTATTTATTTTTTCTATTTATATGATTTTGACTCCCTTCTTTGTCTGTCTATGTTGCGTGTTCTGTTTTTGGAGCATTTGGAACATTTAGTGCCATTTCACTGAACTTATTAAGTCATTATTCATCTGAGAGGCACTAAAGTAAATTTGCAACTATTTGTTGATACTAACAGAGGGTGAGAGGTCACAGTTGCATCACTGAGTCTAGGGGGTTGCTCCATGGACCTGCTACTCTTTAGAGACACCCCGCTGGGTTCTGGAGATTCTGATCTCTGTCGCTTCCTTCTGGTGGTCCTGACAAATGACAAAGAAAATAGCATTTTAGACCAATCGTTGTCAGTCTCGTCTCAATCATTAGCTGTTGTATAGCTTGAATGTACCTTTGCTTTTCATTTACATTTCATTTAGAAGAACCTTTTTCAAAGCCATTTACAAATAAGGATTTCAAAAAGTGATTAAGTGACATGAGATCTGCTGTAATACAAAGTTCCTATATTGATCAGATGAGTAGCGACTAGAAAATGGCTCAATTTAAGAGAGAAGATAGTCTATTAATTAAGTGATTCATTAAGTGCTGATTGATCATTAGTGATGAACAGCTGCTGTTAACAAACAGAATCACTGAAGAAAAGACAAATACAAGAACTACAACTGACTTCAGCCACAGACTTAGATGAAATCAACTGAAATAAAATACATTAAATCTCTCAAGAGCTGATTAAACAACTCCACAAACAGCATCACCAGCTCCAGCTTGTTATAACACAAAAGCTCAGAGAAAATATGAGCAGGTGTTTGTTGTTAAATTTTGATGATGTCAATCATCAATTAGTATACTTATCTCATTCATAGTTTAATCTCTGATTAAATTGATGTTGTGTTATTAATCGTATTGATTATAATGAAAGTGATTCTAAGTGCCAGTGGTGCTGTGACAATCAGTTATCATAATAAAACACTTTCCACACAGTTCATGCACAAAATGTTTTCATCTATGGTAATAACCAGACTCACACAGGCATCATTAATCAGCATATGAACCTCAACAATGGTGACCATTTAAA